AGCGGGGTGAGCCAACCCCACACTAGCCGCTTTCCCCCAGCAGACTAGGGAGACACGAAGCTAGCGCTCCCCCCCCCCCCCCCAGCAGACCAGGGACACCCGAGCAAAGCCGCTGCCTGGGCGGCTTTGCTCGTAAAGCCGCCCAGGCGGCGGCTTTGCTCAGGTGTCCTTGGTCTGCTGGGGGGGTCCAGTGGCTTTGCTGGACCCCCCCCCAGCAGAGCAGGGAGACCGGGAGAAGCTTTTCTCTCCCCAGAGGACACGGGTGGCGACCCGCCACCCGTGAGCTCCGGGGCAAGAAAAGCCCCGTTCGTAAGTGCGGATCCGACATAAGTCGGATCCGCATAAGTTGGGGACTGCCTGTATTTACTAAACATCATACTTCGGATTTGGCTTCAAGAGAAAATGATAGATTTGGTGGCACAGTGCTGCAATCATTATTTAATTAGGACTCTGAACCACCTTCTGACTTTAGCACTGCTTGCCAAATTACACATAAATGGGAATATGCAGAGCCATTTGAAGAAGAAATGAGGTTTGTTTGCTTTGTTTACTTCTTTGAGAGGCCTCTGCACCTTCTTACTCATCTTTCCCTTTTTCCACCCCCAGAGTTCTATTTTGGTGCCTCTGGGTCAGTGGTGGAAGCAACTGAGGCAGTAGAGGGTGCAGCATCCCTTTATGTAGCCTGACTCTCAGAGGCACAGCAGGAGGAGCGCTCAAACAGGCACTGCTTAGAGAAGGTTTGGCACTTAGCTTGCACTGGTCAGCCATTACCCATACATGTGAATATGCAGAATCATTTCGAAGAACTCCAGTTACAAGTAAGTAACTTTTTTTTTTAAAGCAAATGGCAGTGAGAACAGTTTAAAATGGTTTCTTATAAATAATCTTTATGTCTCAGGAAAGAGAAATCTGATTACTGGGTTGAATGAGGTTTGAGGAGATGCTTTCTTCATATTGGACACTCTTTGCTTTCTTCATATTGGACACTTATCGAAGAGGTTTGTTCAGAGATGGTGGGCTGGGGGAGCTATCTTTTGGGTACATCTAAACTACATCCCTCTTTCGAAAGAGGGATGTAAATTAGACATATTGCAATTGCAAATGAAGCCGGGATTTGAATTTCCTGTGCTTCATTTGCATAATTGCGTCATGGCATTTTTTTGAAAAACGCTATTTCAAAAGTGAAACCGCAATTTAGACACAGTTCTTTCTAAAAGAAAAGCCAAAAAATGAGATTTACCTTGTCTTTCAAAAAAGGTTTTTCTTTTAGAAAGAACCGTGTTTAGACTTTCACTTTTGAAATAGCATTTTTCAAAAAAACGCCATGACACGATTATGCAAATGAAGCGCGGTAAATTCACATCCCGGCTTCATTTGCAATTTCAATATGTCTAATTTACATCCCTCTTCCAAAAGAGGGATGTAGTCTAGACATAACCTTAGATACTTATCTGGTCTCCATTATTGTAGCGTCTGCATTCCTCATAATCTCTAATGTATTTGTGAGTTAAGAAAGTGTTATCCCCATTTTACAGCATTAGAACAAAGGCAGAAAGAAATGTGCAAAAGGTTATACAAGAAGTTTGGGAAAGAATAGGGTTGTGGACCTGGGTTTCCTGGGTTCCCTTCTTCCCTAACCATTAGACAATTCTGTCATCATAAATGACTGCACTAATTTAACAGAGAACCTTAAGCATTGCCATGTTCGAACCTGGCTGCATCAATGGCTAAAAGTAGGCAGGATTTCTTGAGAATTACACTAGGCATTTGTCACTTGATTATGATGTCAAGAGGATCACTGCTACTGAATGAGAGGTAGTATAGCAGTTCGACAAAATGTTAATTAGCTCTAAGACTTGAGTAGTTTTTACTGGAAAAGAAAGGAGCATTATGCTGAAGAGGTACTGGTGACTGCACTTATCACAAACCTCTTTGAACTGAGTATAAACACAGCCTTCAATTTACATAATCAGAAGCCTCCAATCTAAAACAAAAGGGGACTGTGAAAAATCCAGGAATTTGGACTGTGTAGGCAGGCAGAGCAGCTTTGAATATTGTTCATTTTGTGTGTGTACACAATGGAAGGCAAAACATATGGAAACGGAGAACAGACAGAATACCTACATGCAGAGACAAAAAGAAAGAAAGCCAAGCACTAGCGTGTGAGCACAGTGTGACCTGGAGAATTTTGGGTGAGATTTTGGCTACAGAGGCTGGGAGGGGCTATAAGCTATGAAATTGCACTTTATTTTTTGTTCTTGATCCTTTCTGCACTCAGATTTTGTACATTCCATATAAATAAGCAAACATGCTTCAAAGACAATGCCAGATTCCCTCAATTTCTTCTTCCAACAGCTACATCTCCAGGGCCCTAAAATTTGACTAGCCACTTGGATCTAAAGGGGGCAACGGGATATTATTAAAACAAGACCTGTGACTTTGGGCATTTTTCTTTTATACATTTCTGTGGTGAGCTCTGAGAACTGCTCCTGATTGTTTACAATTTTTAGTTACAACTAGTCGGTTCTAAAATACACACACACTATTGTTTTTATTACCTTGTCTTACCTTTATCTTCCTGTTTTCTATTGTCTGTTAGACTATAAACTCATTGGATGTCACATACTATACATTTATCCTGTATACAATGCTGTTATGACCTAACTGATGTCATTAGTCACTACCACAGTATCAGTGTAAAATAATAATATATTTGCCTTCTTTCCGTACCTAATTAGAGTAGGTATAACTGACTGGGATTGATCATTCCCACACATTGGGATGTACAATCATCCAAATATGTCAGTGTTCGAAGGAGACACTTTCACATTCATTATTATTTCTGTTTTAGTTTTTAAACAGCTACGGTGTGTGTCTAATCTACCTAATACTGTCTCATTAAATCATGTGATGAGCAAGTAGGGATGGAATAGTCTTTGGATCAGATAATATATAATTCATTGGCCATTACTCCATATGATTTAGCCAGTGCAGAATTGTGCATTACAGTACATTTAAGAAATTATGTATCCACATTCTGTGGCCATATGGCTTGTTAGGGTTTGTCCCGTGCTCTCATGTGGTATGTTGGACTTTGTCATAATTCTATATTGCAATGTATTGGTCCTTGCTAACTTAATACTATCTCAAAACAGGAAGTTGATAACATTGTAATATCACAAAGTTGGCTAACATACCTGGTCCAGGTTGGACCTCCCTTGTCCAGCACCCTTGGGACCTGAGTCATCCCGAACAATCGAGTTTGCCGGATGAGGGGAGGTCAAGGCTCCCTACCTGGCTGTAGGCTCTGCTGCTGGGTGCGGCTGCACTCCCTGCTGCCTGCCACTGCCTCCAGCCCTCCACCGGGCATGCCAGGCCGGCGCTGCATTCTTCCGCAGTGCCAGCCCCACACCGGGGCTCACCCCACTGCCTCCAGCCCCAGCTGGGGCTGTGCTCTCATGCCCCCGGTACTGGCCCAGGCTGCACGTGCAGCTGACTCCAGTCCTGGCTGGGACTGCGCTCCTGCACCATGCCAGCCCTGACTGAGGCTATGCCTCTCACCATGCCAGCTCCAGCCTAGGCTGCACTCCCCACTGTGCTAGCCCTGGCCCCTGACTGGGGCTGCGCTCCTTGACATCAGCCCTGATCAGCCAGGAGTCACTAGTCCAACAGTATCTGAGTTCCTGCCAGACCACAGATGTTGCCCGACCAGAGAGTCCTGGGGCTTGTCTACATTGGCCCCTTTTCCGGAAGGGGCATGCTAATTTTTCAGATCGTAATAGGGAAATCCGCGGGGGATTTAAATATCCCCCGCGGCATTTAAATAAAAATGTCCGCCGCTTTTTTCCGGCTTTTAGAAAAGCCGGAAAAGAGCGTCTACACTGGCCCCCATTCGGCCCGATCCTCCGGAAAAAAGCCCTTTTCCGGAGGATCTCTTATTCTTTGAAGTAGGAATAAGAGATCCTCCGGAAAAGGGCTTTTTTCCGGAGGATCGGGCCGAATGGGGGCCAGTGTAGACGCTCTTTTCCGGCTTTTCTAAAAGCCGGAAAAAAGCGGCGGACATTTTTATTTAAATGCCGCGGGGGATATTTAAATCCCCCGCGGATTTCCCTATTACGATCTGAAAAATTAGCATGCCCCTTCCGGAAAAGGGGCCAATGTAGACGAGCCACTGGATTTTAGAGGTATTATTATTTCCTGTAATAGTTAAATAACTATTGTTATTGTTAATGATGAAGAGTATTTGCATTACACTTTACATCTTGAAAGTGCTGTAGATATAACAGAGTCAATTCTGTTTTATGCTAATGTGCTCACAAAGACCTTTTTCTAAATTGTCTTGACATCTTTATTTTCCTTCTGATTTTGTCTGAAGAGAGGAAAATAGGAGATTGAAAAGGAAGAGAATGTGTCCAACTCGGGCAGAAGGAAAAGAGAAGCACATTCATACCAGGCCAGAAAGTAGGCAAATCACTTGTTTGATACTATAAAAGAAGTGAAAAGATGGGGAAGTGCCTTTGAGTGAGTCTGAATGATCCAATATCCAAAGCCAAACTTCAAACTTGAGTATTTCGTCTTCACCTCAGAAATCTCCCTAATAGGACTTCAACACCGAGTTATTGTCTCACCTCCACAGAACAAGCAAAACCTGTCAGAGGTGTTTTTATGGAAGGAGAGAAAACAAAATGGAGAATATTGTTACTGCCACTATATACGTCTGCTATTAAATACATTGTTGACCTTAAACATTGTGTTTGGTTTCAGGATAACAGAAGCTTCAGAGGGGTAGCCATGTTAGTCTGTATCTGCAAAAGCAATGAGGAATCCAGTGTCACCTTTGAGACAGATTTATTAGGGCTTAAGCTTTTGTGGGTAAAACCCACTTCATCAGATGAATTGGAGTGGAGTTTACAGAGGCAGTTTACAGAGTTTATATAAGGACAACCAAAGAAAGAGGGTACTTGTGTGAATGAGGCTAATCAAGTCAGAGTAGAAGTGGCTCATTTACAGCAGTTGATATGGAAAAGGGGGAATCAAGAGAGAGGAAATTGCCTTTGTAATGTGTTAACCAGTCAAGATTATTATTCAGCCCTAAACTGATAGTATTGAATTTGCAAATGAATTCCAGTTCAGCTGGTCTCCCATTGTAATTGGGGTTTTGAAATTTTTTTGTAGGATAGCTACTTTTAAATCCATTACTGAATGTTCAGTGAGGTTAGTTCCTCCTGGCATGTCTAGACTGCAGAAAGTATCCTGAAATAGCAACTCCATGTTTTTAAATGCACTCGCTATTTCCCAAAATAGCATTCCATGAGGGTTAAGGGATTTGTCAGAATAGTGCCTTATTTTGAAATTTGGCACTATCTACACAAAATAAACTCTTTTGACCTAGATTCGGAATAAGCTACGCAATTTGCGCTACGCAATTTGCATAGCTTATTCCAACAGAAGGGTGCTGTCTAGACACACCCCTTAAGGTTTGTATATGTTACCATTCCTGATATCTGATTTGTGACTGTTTATCGTTTGGTTCAATTTGGCCAATATGCATGGCAGAGGGGCATTGCTGGTACTTGATGGCATAGATCACATTAGTGGATATGCAGGTGGATGTGCCCCTCATGTTGCAGCTTATGTGGTTAGGTCCTGTGATGGTGTTGCTATAATAGATATGTGGACAGAGTTGGCAATGAGGTTTGTTGCAGAGATATGTTCCTGGGTAAATATTTCTGTGGTGCAATATGTGGCTGCTGGTAAGTATTTGATTCAGTCTGAGGGGCTGATTGTAGGCCAGGATTGACCTGCCTCCTAAGGTCTATGAGAATGAAGGATTTTTTTCCAGAATAGGTTGTAAATTCTCAATGATGCACTGGAGGAATTTTAGAAGGGGCTGTAGATGATAATAGGTGGTGTTTTGTTATTTTCCTTGTGGGGCCTGTCCTGAAGCAAGTGACTTCTGGATACTCCTCTGGCTCTGTCAGGCTACGTCTACACTATTCTGATCTTCCAGAAAAAGCAACACAAATTGCAGTTTGCAATTTGTGTAGCTTTTTCCGCTTCTTTTTTCGGAACAGGCTTTTCTGATATTTGGCCTCTCTACACTAGCCCAAATGTCAGGGGGAAAAAAACCCTTTTTTTGAACATCTCTTCTTCCTCGTAAAACGAGGTTTACAAGGATACCAAAAAAGCTCATCTGCTTTTCCGGAAAAAATTTCGGAAGAACAGACATGGCAGAGTTTTTCCCTGGATACGGCAGAGTTTTTCCAGGATACCGGAGAACTCCATAGAAAACTCCGGAGTGTAGACACAGCCTCAGTCTGTTTCTTCACTTCAGCTGTGGGGGTATTTTTAAGCATTAAAAAGAATGACTGATAAAGATCTTAAAGGTTTTTGTCTCTGAGGGATTGGAGCAGATACAGTTATGTCTTAAGGCTTGGCTATACACAACTGATCATGTGGTGTGTTCTGGATGGAAGCTAGAGGCATGTAGATGAGAATAGTGTAACCCACAAACCTAGTGTGGTTCACTGTCCCATGTAGTGGCACTTAGACCATGTACAGCAAGAGATAAGAATAAGCCTAAGCTGAAAGTGAGCTGGCTTTATAGCTCAAGATGAAAAGGTTCCTACACTAAGCTCCAGCAATCCCAGGTTCAAATCCATCTGGTGGTGGTGGTTGCAATTGTAATCAGAGGGTTTCCAGAATAGGGTGCTGTTAACTGACTATCATTATTTATTACTGAAGTAGACAGGAACTTGTGTGGATTGTTCCAGGCTAAGTCGATGGTAGCTTGGAAATTGTTGAAATCCCTGTGGAATTCTTCAAGGGCCTCCTTCCCGTGGGTCCATATGATGAAATGTCATCAATATGGTGTAAGTAGAGGAGTGGTAGTAGAGTATAGGAGCTGAGGAAATGTTTTTCGAGGTCAGCCCTAAAAATGTTGGCATATTGTGTGGCCATGTGGGTGCCCATAGTAGTGATGCTAACTTGAAAGTATAAATTGTCCCCAAATTGGAAATGGTTGTGGGTGCAGCCAAAGTCACAGGACCTAAACACATAAGCCACACCATCAGGGGCTCATTCCCCTGCACATCCACTAATGATACATGCCGTCAAGTGGCATGTATATGCCCTCTGCTATGTACATTGGCCAAACCCGACAGCATCTATGCCAAAGGATAAATGGACACAAATCAGACATCAGGAATGGTAACCTACATAAAAGGGATGTAAAAATTCATTTAAAAATGTAACTGTGTAACTGCTAGAAATCCTACATGGTTACACACACTGTGGGCCTAGCAATATAAATAATAATAATACATGGAGATATGCCTATCTCATAGAACTGGAAAGGACCTTGAGAGATCATTGAATCCAGTCCCCTGCCCTCAAGGCAGGACCAAGTACCATCCCTGACAGATTTGTCCCAGATGCCTAAAAGGCCCCCTCAAGGATTGAACTCACAACCCTGGATTTAGCAGGCCAATGCTCAAACCACTGAGCTTCATACTGCAGATCTCATAGCAAAGCCTCCCCAGGAATGGGATCAGCAAGGGCTGCCAGCCCCACTCTGAGAGAGGCTTCGCTGCCAGGCCTGCAGCTGGGTGCTGGGGCGTCAGCATGTAACTTGAAGTGGTAGGGCTGGGCTGGGCCTGTCACAGACAGGGGTTGCTCCTACCAGTTGCCTGCTGGGGGCCCCACAGGGCCAAAGAAGGGGCAGGGTAACACAACTGGTTTTTAATAAGATTACTCTGGATTTACTCTTCTGGAACTGAGAGAAGAATTTGATTTAAAAATTATGTATCACTTGAGCACATCAAAAAAGAAAAAGCAGAAACAGAGCTGATCCAGAGAAAGGCAACGGAAATTATTAGTGTCCTCATGTACCCAAACTAGGGACAGCAAATGTATCCTAGTGATAGAAATGTAGCCGTGTTAGTCTGGGGTAGTTGAAGCAAAATGCAGGACAATGTAGCACTTTAAAGACTAACAAGATGGTTTATTAGATGATGAGCTTTCGTGGGCCAGACCCACTTCCTCAGATCAAATAGTGGAAGAAAGTATCCTGTGATCTTTAAATCTTACTTTTTACTTCAGCATAATTTTATTTCCCCTCTCCCTCTATACTTCTGAAAACTAACTTCAGGGTTCTTTATAGCCATGGTACCTCAGAATAAAGGCTATTCTGGCTGAAGTAGTGTGTGTCCCTTAAATCTGTGAGTTTGGTGGCCAAACCTAGGTAGTGTATTGAAAAGGGAGGAGGTTCAGCTCCAGGCCCATCTTTTCTATTTCCAAGTGGTGGCCCTGTTCTCACCCTTGAAATTAATGATATTCTGCTTTAGGTTAACTTTGCTTTGAAGTTTTATGGGTAATATCTGCACTATCCCTGTCATAAGAAGCGTGTCTCTGGGACATAGATTGATAGATATTTATAATGAATTAAAATACATGAATAATACTTTGATTTTTAGAAGCACTTCTTATGTAAAGTTTTCAAAGCATTTCGCTGCTTACCTATCTAGAGGTCTAGTCAAAATAAATATTATTTTTAGTTTCTTCATAACTGCTTGTTTAGTTTTTCTTTTTTTCTGTGAAATCCTCTGACTTATTGAGTTGCAACTTGTTGCAATTCAAATGTCACAGAATCTAGGGGAATCAGTGGTACAGCTGGACAAAACATTTTTGACTGAATTTTTTTTTCAGCAAAAAATTCAAGTGTGGCAACATTTAGCAAGTTCATGTTGAATTTGCCAGATTTATTTCAATGAGGTGACAAAACACTGGAAAATAATAAAAACAGTTTAACATTGTCAAAACAAAAATGTTTCATTTGACCTGAACTCATTATTTTCTGACTTTTCAATTCACCTAAAAATTTATTTAAATCTTAGTTGTGGTTCAATCCAAAACATTGTTTTTCTTTTCTCAGAATTGTCAGTGAAGTGAAAAGTCCATTATTCATGCAGTTCTAGTTAATGGGAATCTTTCCATTAACTTCAGTGTGCTTTGGATCATGCCCATATGCTCATGCGCTATGTGTTCTATATTGTCTCATTGAGAACTAAAAATCCCTTCATTTGTATAACACTGTCCCTGTCATAGGGATTATGTTTCCTTTCCAGACTATTCATTGGCTTCTTTGCATTACAAATTAGAGGCATTTGCAGGATCATGATAGTGTGAAACTTCTATATTCCATTGTGTCATTAACAATTTTGGACAGGGAGTGACTGGTCCTTGGCCAGAGTAAATTGGCATTGCTCCACTGAAGTCAATGGATTGAAAGCACCTAAGGATTTAGTCCAGAATGTAGGGAACGTTTCCAGAGGAACTGATCGTGTGAGACTGTGTGTTTTACTGCGTTTTCGCCCTGCTTGACAGGGGAGAGGAGAGTACCAGTCTTTTAAACAAACACTAACTTTCTTTCTTTTTGTCAGCCACAAAAATGTTCCAAAAGGCTTTGGGGAAGGGAGAAGTAGTAACCGAGCTCGCTGACTCAGACAATGAGGAGGTGGAGATAAAGTGCATCCTAGAATATCTTGAAAGCCGCGATTTGGTATGAACAGTCTCTGTGCAATGCAAAAACAGTTTATATTACCCAGCCGCTGTCATTCTCCCATATAAGCCAACTTTTCCCCTCACTTATGATTCATCCCATCCCTCCACTTACTTGATTTGATTCAGTCTGTTTCCCTCTCATGTTTCCCATATATTCTGTTTCCTTCTCTCTTGATCCATCCCATCTATCCCAGTAGCTGGAATGATATTATAATCCCCAGAATTTGTAAGAAACTATGTTACATTTTCACTTTGCCAAATATCAACCCAGTTCACTGTGTTCTGTCCTCCTTGCAGTCATCTGTGGAGCACGAGCTCCACATCTTGAGAAACCTAGAAAGAAAAATCAGTGCTATCACCCATCTGCATAGTGACCTGGCCCAGCGGCTGGTTGACATCACCTCCATCACTGTCATCAAGGATAAGGTAATAGCATAAGATGTACGCGACAAAGAGGGACTCAGAACTGAATCCAGAATTCCAAGTCTTAGTCAGCACATCGTGCTATCTCTCTATGTAATAGTACCATGAACTAGGGATGTTAAAATGTTTTTAATTGTGTAAATACTAAAGTTTTCAGAAGATACACGTTTACAAGTGGGGGCGGGGGCAGGAGGTGGGAACCCATGCTCACAGGGAGCTGGCTTTTAAGCCATCTCCCTGGGAACACCAGCCCTTGCACCCCATCCCACCCTACTGCCTCTGTACTACATGTACTGGCTCCTGCCCAGCCAACCGCTCCCCCCATTGCTGTCTCTGATACAGAGTGCCTTGAACACACAGAGGCAGCAGTATGTGTATGTGTGTGTGTGTGTGTGTGTGTAGGGGGGAGAGAGTTGGCTCATCAGAAGCGAATATGCATGAGGAGTGAACTTGAAAGCTGGCTCCCTGTGTGTACAGGCTCCAGGCTGCCACCTCTGCCCGTGCTGCCGCCTTGGTATCAGAGACATCAGCATGGGTGGAGGGGGGGCAGGTGGCTCCATGGCAGCCATCACTCAAACGCACCAACTCCCACCTCTTCTCCCCCTGCTGCTTCTGATGCAGGCAAGATCATCAGTTAACCATGTACTTGGCTACCCGTTCACATCCCTACCATGAACAAGAAAGGATGAGCATAAGTGTCCTGGGCATGTCATGTGACATGTTTCTAAAACCCATATGATAACAGACTTTATCAGCTCTCATGAGTTAAGTAAACATATTCAGGTTTTTTTCAGTAGCTGAACTGAACTAGAACAGACTCTGAGTTATGTTTGGCAAAATTATATTCTAGCATTGGTCATTATTCTGTTTATGGCAGGGGTGGGCAAAAGGGGATCCGTGGGCCGCATCCGACCCGCCAAGTGGGTTGATCCAGCCTGTGGAGGCCCTGCCACTCTCCCACCCCCCAAGCCTTTTTGAAGCACCGCACGCTACTCACAGAGCAGGAGGAGACTTCACGTGCTCCCCCGCCCCCGAGACCTGATTGGCCTGGCGGCAGGAGGAGCGTGCAAAGTTTCCTCTGTCCTCCGCCCTCTGCACCCCGCCCTGTGAGGAGCACATAGCACTTTGAAATGCCGTATGCTCCTTGCAGGGCGGGAATAGGGTAGGAGGAGTCTTCATGTGCTTCCCTGCCCCCAGGCCAATCAGGGCCTGGGGGCGGGAGAGCTAAAGCTTCCTTCGTCCTGCCCTGGCCCTGCTAGTTGCCTGTGGCACTTCAAAGTGCCACGTGCTCCTCACAGGGCGGGAGAAGGCTTCCTGCACTCCCCCTGATTGACCTGAGGGAGGGGGAGTGTGCCAAGCCCCTTCCAGGGCACGGGTGCCTAGTGGGAAGGGAGGGCAAAGGGACCAATCATGGCCTTGAGGTGGGGTGGCTCCGCCTCTTCCTGTTTAGGTCCTGCCCCTTCCAGGGTAGTCCAGGGCGGCTACACAAATTTTTGAAGTGGCCCCTGGGCAAAAATTATTCCCCACCCCTGCTTTAGCAACTATATAACATGTAGTCCACTACACAATTAACCAATAAGCCTTGGTTTACTGGTTAATCTTATTGACCACACACACTCCCCCCCAACTTGTTGCCTCTGTATCAGAGGCAGCAAGGTGGGGCAGTGGGGAGCTTGATGCCCATGAAGAGCTGGCTTTAAGCAGAGTCAGCAAAGGTGGGGACAGGCATAAGCCAGTGATGGGGGGGAGCCAGCTTTAAAGCTTCCCTCCCTCCCCACACTGCTGCCTCTATCCGAGAAAGCAGCACCAGGGGTGGGTGGAGGAGGCTGATGTGAAGCTGTGTCTGTCTGTGGTGGCCTGGGCCCACTGTGGACAGAGGTGGTCCCTGGCAGCAGCCCCTGTCCTAGGGTGGTCCAACTCCCCATGGACAGAGGCTGCTTTGTGGCAATCTCCCCCTGCCCCTGCACCCCTGCAGCAGCCTCTCTCCACCAGGAGCTCTGCCTGTATCAGTGTGGGATGACAGGCAGGCAGTCTGCATGGGGAACTGGTTTTTAAACTGGCTCCCCTCGCAGACTGGCTCCCCCCTGCCCCCCCCTGCTGCTGCCTCTGATAGAGAGGCAGTAGCGCAGGGTGGCGGGGGGCTCCCTGGGAGAGGGGTCAGGAGTGCACTGGCTGCTGGCCTCACCCCCGAGGAATATCAAATAGTTGCGTAACTGTTAAGATTTCATGCGGTTACACGACTATTCAATTACACCACCAGGAGCTCTGCCTGTATCAGTGTGGGATGACAGGCAGGCAGTCTGCATGGGGAACTGGTTTTTAAACTGGCTCCCCTCGCAGACTGGCTCCCACCTGCCACCCCCTGCTGCTGCCTCTGATAGAGAGGCAGTAGCGCAGGGTGGCAGGGGGCTCCCTGGGAGAGGGGTCAGGAGTGCACTGGCTGCTGGCCTCACCCCCGAGGAATATCAAATAGTTGCGTAACTGTTAAGATTTCATGCGGTTACACGACTATTCAATTACACTATATCTAACATCCCTAATCAAAATCGAATCCTATTTTATTATTTTTTGTCATGGATAATTATAGGAAAGCAATGCCTGCCCTGGAAACGCCCATTCTCATTGTTTAAACAAACTTATTTCCTCATTAGCATTGATTTCAATGGGAATTATCAACCTGTAGCTGGAAAATAAGGTCCCAAAGATGAATTTGATTCATGATGCTATAACTGTGAGACCACAGGACTGTAATAACTAAGGCTGTGTCTACACTGGGATTAATTTGGCATAAACTACATAAAGTGAGCTACGTCAATTGCTATTTTGAAATAGTGAGCATCTACACAGCACTTATTGTGATACAGGGCAATCTTCCTCCGACTTCCCTTAACTCTTCGTACAATGAGGGTTACAGGGTCAGAATAAGAAATCCTCTAGCTTGACAGTATTTTGATAATATTTCAAAATAACTGTCTGCTGTGTAGAAGTGGACTACGGTATTTTGGAATATCACTAGTTATTTCAAAATAGTGTTGCAGTGTAGACATACCCTAAGTCAATCAGATTGCTCACTTTTCTAGTTCCGTCATAGGGTTGCATTATTTCCCCCCACCCTATCCCTCAGTTCTTGTTCCCCAAACATGGGGGCAAGGTTTCCTGATCTCAGCTGAAGCTGTTCACTTCCTTACCCGTCTCTTGGACTCTTTTTTCTGATGGTAATGATTCCACAGAGACGAGTCCACCACATGTAATTCTGAGTGCATGTAATGAGGCATGAATTTCTCTGTGCTGATCAAGGAACTGAAGGAGGAATTTGAGGAGGCTGCCATTGCCATTATAGTGGCCGTTGGTAAGCACTGTCCAGGAGAGGTCGTGGCCACACTGCAAGAGAGATTCCAGTCAAAAGTCCTGCCGCTCCACCAAGTCCTCTGTGCTGTGGAGAAGCTCTGTCAACTCAGTGGTACCATCTTTCTGAACTTCCTGTTGTCTGACTTTCTTGTTAGATTGGAAAGTGTTTCATATGACCCTACTAAACATGTCTCAATTACCTTAGCTTTTCTTATGAGCCCTTCTGATAATGAGCCCTACACTGTGGTTGATCAAAAATTTTCCACCTAAACTGGTTTTCAACAAGAAACTGGGTTTGTGACTAAATTATTTTTTCATTAAAAGTGTCTGTTTTCCTTGGTAGATTTGGAGGGGAAGGGGAAGTTGAAAGGGGTTATTTGTTTTTTGCCAAAACATTTTAGCTCCAGAACCTAAGGATTTTGCTGAAAATGAGGGTGGTTTTGCCTCGTGGGAGTCGTAGTTGGCTCATCAGATTCACATTCTTGTCTATGACCTGGGATCAGCTGCTTGATTACATCTTCCATAATGGAGCATGATCAGCCCTCTTGGTGAAGAGAGGCAGTATAGTGTGGAGATCCTGGCCATGCTGCATTATAGCAGCTGTCGTCCAGCTGGGCATCCCAGCACAAAGAGTTGGATGGAGACATGAAGAGGCATTAAAACTCCCATTTAAGCTAAAACCTTCCTGGTTTTCTAGCGTTCCATTTTTTGTAGCAAAGTGGTGGGAAAGGCAGGATTTTCCACCTCTCTGCCCTACCCCATTCACTCCTGAAGGAGCTTCCTCTCATCCTTTTGGGGACAGACTGTCCATAGCCTTATTGTGGCTATGTCAGTGGGGAGAAGCAGTTTGTGCTTGATGAAGTGGGCTGCTCGGGCTGCTCTTTCCACGTGCCACCTGGGTTGCAAGTCACCCCAAAAGGAACAAGCCCCTGACCCACAATTGCACTGGACTGCAGAGCTGAATAGGCTGCACCATCCAAAGGGACAGTGCAGCATATAACTCTCCTTCCTCAAACTCCTTGAACACTGCCTCCACCACAAACATGTGCCTTAAAGGTAGACTCTCTGGCCCTTATGGTGCAAGGTAAGTCCTGCACCCTTGTGGTTTTATACCCTCATTTGAGTTTAGCTTGTGGCTACAGCGGGTACACCAGTTTGGTAAAGACCATATTGCTCAGTGATAAAACCTGGCTTCTTGCAGGAGCCACTGACCACTAGGAAGGTTGGAGACCAGGGAGGCTTGAGGGGAAGGATCTGTTTCTGGTGCCAGGAAAGGAAGCTTTTGAAGGAGTGGGAGGAGGAGAAGGGATCCAGTGGGTATTGGTGGAAGATGCAGGAAGAGGTTGGAAACTATCATGATGAGAAGGGGTAGGTACAGCTGTCTGAAAAGTGATCTGGGTATATTTCTAGGCCACAGATGGATAAACCTCTGTCCTCTCTGTTAGTAGATAATGAGGGGAGAGTCTTTTACATCATAAGGTTTCTGACATTTTTTTTTTTATAAAACTGCTACTTGAGGAGCTGTTTACTAAGGTATCAGCCCACTTGGAACTGCCCACCAGCAATATCTGCTTGTAGGGAGGATATTGAGCCATATCTATCAAAAATGCATAGAGTTGTCTATCCCTTTTACATGCGTGCTCCATTGCTCTGTAGTGGGGCTGTCAAGCAGATGGAATTCCTTCAAGCAAATCTCCCATGGGACAAAAAGCAACATTCCAGCTGGAAACAAAGCTGATTGTGTTTTCCTCTCCTCTCTTCCAGTAATGGCTCCCTACATAGGTGCAATGTGGGACTGTGTCCTTCCAGCCCTACCCTTGGTAGAGTCAGAAGAATATATGCTGGTATTTAGTGATGGTGAGAATTTCAAGTTCCCTTGTATTTAGGGATTTTTCCATTCCTAGGTCTGGATCTCATTTCCCACAGACTTTCCTTATTGGCTTTCTGATGTGTGAGGAGGAAGGAGGGGAGGGGGAAATTAATATGTGCTTGCCTGAGCACAGTGATTGCTGTTCTGCCAGCCTTATGCAGAGTACACACTGAGGGGAAGAGAAGCTCCTTATACCCACTTCTTCCCCAACTAAGGCCCAGCTGGTACTAAGTGAACCCTACTTAGCCTATATGTTTTCTTAGGGCAAGGATGGAAGAGTGGGAATGAGAAAGGGGGAGTAGCTGAATATACAGGTCAGAGAAATCTATTGAAGTGAGTCCCAGGGAGATTTTCATACATTAGGAGGGACATACTAAATTTCATTTGGAGATATATAAATGAAGTCAGTGGAGGCTAGAGAAGTCAGTGGAGGCTGACAGAGCATGGAACTATGGTTAGGAAGACAGTGAATGTGAAAAGTGCATATAGTCATAAAGTCCAGAAAAAAGTCATTTGGATTCAGTGCCCTGGGCCAGAGTTTGAAACATTTTCTCTTGACGTCTATACTGCTAGGTTTGGATTAAAGATTACCGTTTACTTTGAAATCCTCAGTCAATGAGACTTCTTTACCAAGTAAGATGTTGGGTCTGAGAATTGTCATGGGTTTTTTTTCTCGGAGGTGCAGAGTGGTTAAGCCCCATTTCCTCTTGACAATTAAACTTGCAAAGGTTGAATCATGTACACGTGTCCTGGGTTTCCAGCAGAGTTTAAAGGAGAGTAGTTATGAATTAAAGGAAATTGTTTTCCAAAGCCTTTGCAAAATATGTGGATATTCTTCATTTCAGTGATAGACCCCACAGAACTTTCCAGAATGACACTGATTATTACGAGCTGTGGAGTACAATAACAATCTTTGGCTCTCCATGCAGTACTAAGAGGACTTGCCAAGTATGCATCAAGGTACCTTGCTGAGCCACCACAAGGAGCTAAGAAGCTCGACATTACCGGAGAAACAGCAGCTGCCAAAGCCTACGTGACTTTCCTGGTGTTTTTCAACAAGTGGTTCCCAACTGCGAAGGGGAAGGTGAGGAGGGAAAATCTTGGGCCCTGAGTGGTTTTCAGTATATGTGTAGGGCTTGGAGAGCGAATGTGTACAGGTGAAAGGAGTCTGAAAGCCTGTGCTATGGGTTGAATAGTCCACTTGTCTTAGGGTGACCCAATGTTCCAATTTTATAGCCCCTTACATTCAGGGCTTTTTATACAGACACTTAATAAAAAGCACCCACTGTTCTGATTTTTCATACTCTCTGATCCCTAATTTATCTACAGTACAGTCACATATTAGGCAGGACAAACTTCCTTCACATCTGTTTCTGCCTCTGAAAATGTGGCCTCATTTTTGGTGTAAAGGAAGCCGCCATGGGAGAACAAAGCAGGGTGTGAAAGTGAGTGAGGCTGCGCTAGGACGCCATTCTGTTTCTAATGCCTTCATGATTTCTGGGGGAATTGAGCATTCACTTTTTAGGAAACAACATTAATTTTCCAGCCTTCAGGGTTGTGAAGATCCAAATCTCCCTGAGTTATTAAGAGACAGCTTAAAACAATACCTCTGTGAGGTTTTAGCTGTTCATTTTATCTTGTCTGGACATTATCACTGTAGACTAATCATGACTGTTCAAATTTCAAAATTGTTAACAATTTCAAGACTGATAATTTTAGTAGGAACATTCATCTAACATGTTACCAAGTATAGTGGAACTGTACGTAACACAAGTAGGTTTGACTGGTATTTTCCTTTGTAAAATTTTCAGTTGGGTATAACTTCAACTATTTAGACTTAAATTCGCCATGCCAGGAACGTGATTTTTTTTTTTTGTTTGAGATGGGGTGTGAGCAAAATTTCAGCAAAAATGGTTCATCCTTAACCTTTTATCATAAATAGAAGTTAAAATTGGGAAAGACCTGTTAGGTCATTTTACCTATCCCTGGTACCAATGCAAGGTTTTTCTCTATGCTTCCCATGGTTTGGTGAATGTGAAATAACTTAAGCAATTGAAATTCTGTCACTTCTTTTGGGACATTGTTCCACATGAAAGTTATTGATAGTTTTCAATAACTGTATTACTCCTAACTGCATAATAGGGTGTGTCTACATTGCACCATTAAAAACAATACTAGCATCCACGCAGCAGTTGTGTTGTTTTGCAAGAAAATCAAAATAACGGAGGGCTTTTTCCAACGCTGGTAAACCTCATTCCACGAGGAATAACACCTCTTCCAAAAAAGCTCTTTTGGAAGAGGGTGTGTGAGGACGCTCCATTGCTGCTATGTTGAAATAGTTCCTCACCAGGGCCATTCTAAAGTTATTCCTCCCCACTGCCTCCTGGGGCTCTAAACTGAGATAACACATCCACATTATGGGAGCCTGCCTTGGACTAATTTTGAGGCTTCCCTGTAGTGCAGATGCTCCAACGATATCTTCCGAAAAAGCTTATTTCAAAAGAAGCTTGCAGTGTAGACATACTCTAAAGTGCTAAATTAGCTTCATGGAAGGGATAAAGGGGACACCAGACATCATGAAGAGACAGAACAAGAGAGACCTGGGCAAAGGGATATATAAAAGTTTTCATCACAATTTTTAACTCTTGGAGGAAAGCGAATTTTCTTTTTAAAGCACAGTAAATTGGACAGTGTTGCAAATACCAGTGAGGACACAACAATAAGCAAAAAGACCCAAAGAAGCTAAAAAATACAGGTAGCAAATTTCACTATCACATTCAAGCTGGGAAAATGCAGGTTAACCCAATGAGGGCAGGGAGAGACAAATAATCTGAAATGCAGGTATTCAATGGAGCTGTAATGTTAAAACCCAGATCAGTGTGACAATAAGTAAGATATTTCCTGACATCTCAATGCTGCAAATACATGGACACATTGGTCACTATGCTCAGTCTGATTTGGAAAATGCTTATTCTTTGTTTTTCCTTCCTCCTGTGTAGGTGATGGAAGCCACGCTGGATGTAATCGGCCAGCTGTTTTCCATCATGTCTGTTCAAACACTAAAAAATCATCTACAGTGTTTGATCTCACAACTCCTGCATCAGTATGGGACCAGGATACAACATTTTTATGTCACAGAGGTGAGCAGTCCAAGGGTATGCCTATGTTTTGTGACTAGAGGAGTTAGATTGCCCATCATTGCCACAGAACCATTGCTTCCATATTGTGGGGAGATACTGATTCCAAGCCTAGGTGATGTTCTTGCCCAGCTCCTTTCAGACTGATATCTAGAATAAGAAATAGATGAACTGGTTGGAAATCTTTAAAAAAAAAAAAAAACACCTGAGACTAGGATACAAGAAGATGAACTTCATGGTGGCAGCTGATAGATTCAGGGCCTATGGAATGAAGCATATGCTCTGCTTCTTGTCCTGGAGACTCAGGAAGTACAGAGAGAGGCGCAGGGTAAATTCAGCCATTGATAGGATATGTGGCAAACCTTTCATAACTAGATGAGTTCCATAGGTAATTGGTTCATTATTATTTTGAGAATTCCTTATTATTTTGTTCTTCTTTTTCCACAGTGCCTATGCCATCTTCTGCATGCTGTACTGTGCCACCAGAAATGGAGTAAGAGGCTGTACCAGAGTCTTGACAATATTCTTAGTTCTCTCTTCGCACAAGTAAGGAAGTTGACACCAATCAGGAATGGAAACTAGTATCACTTTGCTCCAGATACCACTTGTGGTCAATAGTTCATTTGGGCCTTTGCAGTTCTATGTTCCCCATCACTTCCTTGTTTGTTGTCCTAGGAGGTCTCATTTCTCAGGTATCCTAAAAAAGGATTTAAAAAATCTAACGTTTCTGCAGAGGGCTGTCAAGATTGAAATGTTTAGAAATGTTTTGTCCTGCTATTCCATTGAGTGGGCAATGTGTACTCCAAGGGTGGAGCCACTGCTAATCCCTTCCTACCATCATAGATCTGCCCTCCTTCAGATGCTGTTTTCTTCTCTATCACGTGGGGCACTGCCCTTCTCTCAAAAGAGCTTTGTCCTGCGCTCTACTCTCAGGTCAGGAAACGCATCCTGCTTTCTTCTCAATCTGAAAGGTTTATCACTGGATATCTCATGAGAATAAGAACCTAACTACTCCCTTTGGAGGAATTCCCTCTTCTGATGCATCAATCAGGGTCACATAGACTCTTGTTCTTCTGTCAGAGGAAAAATTAACAAACGTATCGGTGATTCTCTTGGGACACTCCCGTGGGGCTGAATGAAGACCATGTGCTCATTCTCTGAGAGGAGCTGGTTTGTGAATCCTTCCTGGGATGGTCAAGTTGAAGTTCCATGTTTTCCAGCTTCTGTGCATGTTTCAAATCCTCCTTTGCTATGGTACCATGCATCTGTGACAGGCATTTCTTCTGTTTTTAGGTTTGCACTAAGACTGATGAATCAGATATGCTAAGTAAATGTAACCAGACCTCTGCATTGCGAGCCTTCCAAGTGCTGGGTAAGACTAGAAATAAACATTGAAATGAAATGAAATGACAGAAACAGGGTCTCGCATTCCTGAGTTTTCAGAGAAACCTCACTTGGAAATCGAGTGTTGGGTTTGTTTCCCTTTATGTAATTTGTTATTAGTCAGACTTCTCTTCTGCTAGGCCCAGTTTATCAGGAGGAGATTATGGCTTTCCTCAGAAAACAGATGGAAGGCTCAGAAGAGGTGAAGTGCACTGCAGCGCTCACAGTCTTGAGAGAAGTTGCCGAGGAGTGTAAGTAGCAAAGGAAGACATGAGACCAGAACCGTGATAGGGGAGCTTGTTTACTACTTACTTATATTCTCTCGCACTAGCAAGTGCCATAGCTCCTCCATTTCCTGAAGACCAGATGAATGTGTAAAAATGATATGAATTAGCAGACTGTCAATCCCATGGACCCAATCCTTTCTCAGCTGACTTGAGTGGAACTGTGTCCCAGTTAAGGGTCCTGCCCCAGATTTTTGGAGCCAGCGTCTTGTGTGCAGGGCAGATTGAAACTTGGTGTTAGAATTTCAAGCATACATTCCCAGTTTTAATATGTGCACAACCTGACTGATGTATTAGTGCCAGATCCTCAGCTGGTATAAACCAGCATAGCTCTATTCAGTCTTAGGGTGCATCCACACTACACTGTTATTCCGGAAAAACAATACTAGCATCCACACAGCAATTGTGTTATTTTGAAAGAAAATCAAAATAATGGAGGGTTTTTCCCCATGTTGGTAAACCTCATTCCATGAGGAATAACGCCTCTTCCAAAAAAGGTATTTCGGAAGAGGGTGTGTGTGCACGCTCCACTGCTGCTATGCCGAAATACCTCCTCACCAGGGCTATTCTAAGTTACTGCTCCCCAGTGCCTCCACAGACAACGCATCCACATTAGGGGAACCTGCCTCAGACTAATTTTGAGGCTTCCCTGTAGTGTGGATGCTCTATTTCGAAATAAACTATTCCGGAAGATATCTTCTGGAATAGCTTTTTCCTAAATAAGCGTGCAGTGTAAACGTATCCTTAGTCTGGCAGTAGGAGCAGCATCAGGCAAAATAGTCTTCACTGTGACAGGGCTGTCTCGCATGCTTAGGGTGAGACTTGCAACCTATGGAAAGAGTTCCAAAATACCATTGGAGTGAGGTATTGCTATCCATGCCATGGTGACACATCATGCAGAGGTGATGTAATATTACAGTATGGCAGTGGTTTTGCTTCCATAGCTTGTTTTGGAGGGTAGAGTCTAAAACTTAGTGAGTCAGATATTGATCTAATCCACCAAAAAAGGCAAGAATGCTGGTAAAAGAAGTTAGAAAGAGTGATGCGCTTCTCGTGGTGGTCTCCAACCTGCCAAACCACCTCTCTGTATTCCTTTCAGCTCCTCATATGGACAAAGTGAAAGAGATTATGGTGCAGTCTGTGGCTCTCATCATACAGGAAAACATCTATAAGGTAAGAAAGCTTTCAGATGTCTTGGGTCAGGCTTGTCTTAAACTTCTATGGTGGGAGATCAATGTATAGCATCACCAATGTAACTAATGGTAAGGATTTTGCCTGTTAGGCTGAGGCATATAGTTGGCACTGTGGCTCTGACAACAGAGTCGAGGTAGCTGTCTTCTCTGATTTCTCATTTATGATTAGCAAGACCAGAGCCCCTGCTTAAGAAATACAAAGTAAACAATCTTTTGTGGGGGGATGAGCATTTTAGAAAATACATTTGTGGTGCATGCTGGGATTTTTAGATATCTTTGACTATCTTTGTTGGTGTGTCTCCTGCAGATAAAAAGGCCTCTCTTGCAGTTGATTAGAAGTTGTGCATGCTGTGGATATCTCACTCTGCCAGGAGGCAGTGTATTGGTGGATTTTCTCATTCGGCAGTGTGAGCTTCCTGGCAGCATTGTGGTAAGAAACAGAATATCTTTTCCTCTTATTTTGAATCCTCCTGGCCTCTTAACAATTCTTGTTAGTCTTTCCCTGGACTTTTCAAACTCTGCTATACCTTTTCCTGCCATAAACGTATATATCACTATGTACCATTGATACAAAAATATCACATGTTCTGTATAATTTTCTGTCCCTTATTACTGTCTTCACCAGTATCCACAAATTACATTTATTTAAGTTAACGGGATGGTATCAAGTATGTTTTACCCCAAAACATAGGTTTTGTTTTTTATAATAAGAAAAAATTACAAATCTTTAAGTGAATGGGAATGATTTCACTTTTTAAATTTTTCAGTGAAAAGTGCTTTTGGGTCACAGCAAGTTGAGAGAAGAAAGGGGATATATTTGGATCTTGATGCCACTTTCTTAAGGACCACTGTGTTTGACCCAAATAACTGTCTTTCAGAGACTCCTCTTGATACCTGTAGTAATCCAAGCCTTTACTTTATCTTTCTTCCCCACCATCTCGATGAGATTAGAAGACAAATAGATTAACTTGTTCTGGCTTTTCATCTATTTATAGAAACATGGAAGTGACTGGGATGAAGAGGCAGTCCAGGTGTATAGTATCAACACCTTAAACCTGGTAAGCATGAATACACATGGGCTGAGAACTTACCAGTAGTTTCACTCAAGGGACTTCCTGAATTCCTTATCTGAACGCACCAGCTGGGCCACACCTCTAAGAGATCTTCCTTCAAATGTGTTCCTCATGAGAGCTATTTATATGCAAAAAAGCCTGTCTGTCACAAAGAGGGAAATATGTGGTTGCCTAGGAAGAGTGGAAGGAGTATCTTTGATCCTGCTAAATGCTAAGTTTTTCTTGTGAGATTTTGAATATTTTAACCTCCTTACATTTCCTTGGCATTTAAGGGTTTATATTAGCTTACTGAAGGTATTTAACTTACCAGAGGAATCGAGACCATAATGAGATTGAGGAACCACACAAAGCGGTATAGATTTGGATGTGCTGTTGTCAGAGGCAGAGACAGTCAGTTCTATCTGCCATTAAATAAGAGGTCAGAGTTCTGAAGTATTGGTTAAGCAACTGCAATTTGTTTCCAGTGATAAAAAGAAAGTCAAAAGAGAGCTCATGTCGCATGTATAAAGATACCCAAACCTGTGCTGTTTGTTGTTTTCAGGTGCCCTGGAAAATGCTACTGCAGTTTGTGTGCCCTCTGGAGTATGCCAATACTTTCATCCCCGTCTGCAAGACCTTGACGTCTTTGTTCATAAAGTCAGGGAAAGGAGGCCTGTCTCCTTACCTGGGGGAGTTACACAGACGACGTTAGTATCAGAAAAGCTACATTTAATTAAATCTTCTTCATAATATAAGATGCAAATGCAACTTTCTGCTGGAGGTTACAGGACTGACACCAGTAAGGTACCTAGCCTACTAGCAAGAGACAATCGAGTTCTTGTGGCACCTTCTCAGACGATCACAGAACTTGCCTAGTTTCCCTGCATACACATGTGTAAAAACACAAGCAACCAATGAAAGTGCTGCATTTCATTCCAGGTTTCATACACTGACTAAAACTCTGGTCAGCATTTAAGTTTTGAATGCTAGGAATCTATAACTTATGAGTTTTAAGAGCAGGGAGATAATACCTAAATAGAAGCAGATGTTAAAAAAAAATTCCCAGGGAGGCGGAAATCAGGATCAGCTATATTAATTCTACCTTAAACTATTTGGAGAGCAACACAAGTCTTTACTTGAGACTCTGAATGGGACTGCCTTCTACATTTCATATTTTTTATTAAAGGGTAGTTGGGATTGAGACACGCTAAATAGCAAAAGGATGAAAAGCAAAGCTCAAAGAGGCATAGATATGCTTTGAAGCTGCCATTATATAAGTGTTCAAAAGGTACTGGAATCTATATAATTGCTTTGTGTTTTGCAAGCATCCTTTCTTGATAAGTTATCCAATTCTGATGTCTCTTATTTACCCAGTTGTCTTTCAATCCAGATACTTGTCTTCTTTTACCTTTTCAAATATCATTAGCTTTAGTGCTATCTGCCTGATGGGAGGAATGCTGACAGGAGACATGGACATCTGGCCAGATGTTTAAATACTTTGTTTTATTATTGGTCATACTAAGCTGTCCAAAAGTGAAAAACTGAGACAGACTTTATAACAAATTAGAGAACCACTCTGTTGATCAACAAACACTATGTATGGGTAAAAAATGTATAATCTTTAAGTCACAGCTTAATTTGTTGTCCCCTCAGCTCTCCTGTACCAGAAATGTGCTCTGTCAGGCTACATCTACACTGCACAGTTATTTCGGAATAAGCTATTCCGGAATAGTTGTTCTGAAATAGTTTATTTCAAAATAGCACGTCTACACTGTAGAAAAGCCTCACAATTAGACTGAGGCAGGCTTCCCTAATGTAGACATTAGGCTTCCCTAATGTAGACAATGCTATCTCGATTTAGAGCCCCAGGAGGAATAACTTAGAATGGCCCTGGTGAGGGGCTGTTTCGAAATAGCAGAAATGGAGCATCTACACACGCCTTATTTTGAAATAGCTATTTTGGAATAGGTGTTGTTCTTCATAGAATGAGGTTTACAGAGATCGGAATAATCCGTCCATTATTTTGAATTGAATTTGAAATAACAGAATTGCTGTTTAGACGCTCACATTGTTATTTCGGAATAACACTGCTGTATATACATACTGTATAGAGAGATTAAAGATCAACTTTTACTTTGAAATCCTCACTCAATGGGGCTTCTTAACCCAGTAAGATTTTGGATCTCAGAATTATGATGTATTTTTCAAAATAACAGAATTGCTGTGCAGACACTCGCATAGTTATTCCGAAATAACTTTGCTGTGTAGACACACCCTCAGTGACCTTCTATTTCTTTTTATGACAGCAACCGAACTCCCAACCCCTCAGGCCCTTCTGATCCGCCTTTTGGTAAGAAATTCTCATCTATTTGGTCCAGGATATTTGCATTTAGTTCAATAATAAATCAAAGAACATTTAAAATATGTCATCTATGAAGCCAATGTTGTCAATGGGGGTATGTTTGGTATGTTTGGTGTTTGGTGGCACAGTGCGGTAGTATGAACGCTCCACGTCGACAAGGGAATCCCTTGTCAACCGCCCCGGGAAACCACATTCCACAAGGCATAACGGGGCGGTCAACAAGGGCTTCCCTTGTCATCCACGGAGCGTCCAGACTACTGTGCTGTGCCGCCAAACAGCTGATCAGCACAGTGTGTCAGCCATTTTGATGTAAATGAAGCGGCGATTATTTAAATCGCCACTTCATTTCCCTATGTCTAGAAACCTCATCTACATGGCTCCATTGATGGAACCATGTAGTATAGACATACTCTGGGCGGGCCCACTGAGCCTTTCTTAAACTGTACTGGTTGTTGGCGGACAGGGACCATTTCCAAGGATTCAGATGCCTGTACATCTCTGCTGGAACACTGGGGGTCTCTAGTGATGACGAGTGTGACAACAGAAAATTGAAAGCAGGCCTCTGTGCCATCCTTATGAAATAACTCTAAGTCAACCTGTCCTAGACCACCCTGATCCCCATCCCTGTACAAGCAATCTTTTAAGGGTCAAAATGAAGCATTATAGTTTATTCTCCCAACCTTTCCTTTTTGCTGCTAAAGCCTTGAATTGAATGTTGGCTCTTCATTTTCCAGGTGATTTAATT